GGACATGAAAGTTATATAAGCAGTTGTCCAAAAATGTGCCACGGCAAGTGTTGCAAGGGGAAGCGCAGGACTATTGCAAACAGTGGCAAGTCCCTCAGCCCCCTGGAGAGAAATAGCCATGGATTTTATAGTGGAATTGCCAGAAAGCAATGGGAATACTGTGGTCTGGACGGTCACGGACTTGTTTTCCAAACAGGTGCACTTTATCCCTTGCCAAAAGATTCCCACTGCAAAAGCCTTAGCAAAACTTTTCATCCAGCACATTTACAGATTGCATGGGGCACCCCAACGCATCATCTCTGACAGGGGGGTGCAATTTACGTCTGCATTTTGGAAGGAATTTTATCCCTCTTAGGAACCATCAGGGACTGACATCTAGCCACCACCCTCAAGGAAATGGGGGGGGCTGAAAAAATGAACTCCAGTACTTAAGCAATATTTAAGATGTTTTCTTAGTTTCCAGCAGACCGAGTGGGCGGACTTACTCCCCTTTGCAGAAGTTGCCTACAATAATGCAGTCCACTCCAGCACAGGTTACACTCCTTTTCAAAATAGCCACGGTCAAAGCTTCAACCCCATGCCAGAATAACCCCAAACGAACCAACGATCCCGCGCTGAAAGAATGGATGGAAAAATTACAAAACACCTGGCCAATAGTCGAAAAGCACTAGATGAAGCTAGGCAGGCTTACAAAACACAAGCCGATAAAAAAAGGGTTGAGCCTACACCATTCATTATAGGAGAGGGATTGTACTTATCTACAAAATACCTAAAGTCCCTACAGCCCTGTAAAAAACTTGGACCAAAATACATAGGACCTTTTACAATTAAAAGAATCATAAATCCAGTAACAGTAGAATTAGAATTACCCAAAAATCTCAGGCAAATACACCCAATTTTTCATTGCAGCTTGCTGAAAAGAGAGCATCAGTCACATCTACGGCCAAAAATCCCCTCCCACCACCACCTCCAATCATGGTGGAGGGTGAACAACACTTCGAAATAAAGGAAGTCCTTGACTCTAGGAGATATCATGGAGCAACTCAGTACCTAGTTGCCTGGAAACACCTCCCTCCCTCACAAAATGAGTGGGTCCATAAACGTCATGTCAGAGCCCCGAAGCTATTGAAGAAGTTTCACACAGAGTATCCTAACAAGCCTGACTAAATTTTATACTTGTGTTTTCTTTCAGGTGGATCTCTCTTATTTTTAAGAGGGGCCGGATGTCAGAATCCAATTATATTTCATCTTTAATTATCAAATATAGAAACTCCCAATTCTGCCTTCTCTGGATTCTGCCATAAGAGGGAGAGAAGGGGGAGAACAAAGGGGCTTTATGGCCCTCACTTCCTTCTTTACACTTCAAAGAGCTGAATGCTGAATGTGTGTTTATTGTAACCTCGAAGCGTTAACATACCAAAGGAGGGAGGTTGCCTTTCATGTAGTTATCTGAAGTCTCCATCCAGACGGAAGAAAGAAGAAAGGGAGTGGAATTGTGATACTTGAAACTATCACTGGAAGGGGGGTTGATTGGGTGGGACTACTGGGGAACCCCTTAAAACCTTGAATGGGAGAGCTTGGACCCCAAGTCCTGTCTAGCATGCCTGCAACCATTTTCTCTTAATAAAGGATTCCTGTTGGAAGAATTATTCCAAGAGTTCTGTCTTCTTAAGATGCAAAGTGGGGTGGGTCTTTACACCAGCATCCTTACCACACATGATTGGAAATGGGAATTCCCTTTCGAGAAGAGCCAGCCTCCCTTGTGCAGGACCTGGGAGCACTGCTCCCCTGCTACCTTTTCTTGTTCTCCAGAGATCTGTCAAGATAGAAGTTGGACTCAGAGGAAACCGCTTCCTGCAAACGTCCTCCATCCCCTGCTTTGCTGGGAGGGAGCACTAGACAGGGAAACACCAATGATGTCTGAGATTGTGAAAAGAACATCTCTTTAGCATGCTGTCCACACACACACACACACACACACACACACACACTCCAAGCTTGGAGACTTGTATTCACATCTGAGCTAGCAAATTGCCAATCATATCTGAGCTTGGGGAGAAGGCCCTCTCTTTGCTCTGTGGATAAAAGTCCTCAAACCTGGAATGCAGTGTGTGTGTGCATGCACATAAGTTTGACTGCTAGCAGTTTGGAGAGGCAAGGAGTTTGTGGGACACCGAGTTGTCCCCACATCAAGTTAGCCAGTGTGACTTGTTCCATTCCAAAACAGGCCATGCCCACCTGCTAGGCGACTGGTAGCATTCAAATATTGCCATATCCTAAAAGTGGTACAATCTCTGAAAAGGTTGAAAAGCCCTGAGCTAGAAGACATATCTACAGAAGGGCACATCAAACCAGTGCCAATAAGCTTCTTCATAAACTTTGTTTTCTAAACAGATTCCATTGCTTTCAAAGAGAAGAGTTTGCAGCAAGTTGTCTCCTTTGTAAGAAATACCTGTGTAAGTTAATGTATACCTGTCCTTGAATGAGATTAAGGTTGGGATGTGGTTAGCCTTTTGCTATTTCTGAAAAGAGATGGTTTCATGTGATTGTTTCTTCTTTCTGTGCTGGGGATGAAAGCTTTGGTCAGTTCTACTTTATTTGATGATCCTGGGGGGTTGTGGAAGATTTGGGGGAAAGATTCCTCCACCTACCAAGGATTCCTCCTTCTAGAGAGGGGAGGTCCTGGCTGAGTGGCAGAGCTTCACTGCAGGCTTCCAAGTTGCTCTCAGTGACATGAACTGCTTCCCTGAGAGCTAGTCCTGGCCTCCCCACCCCCAGTGCAGCCTTTTGTTCCAGATGCTAGAGATTGGCCAGGCCAAATGATCAGGCAGCTGGAGTGACCAGGTGCCAACGGGTGAATCCTCACAGGGGGCTCTCTGCCGAGGAGACTGGCAAGGAAGGAGTCAGCACAGCAGCATTTTCTGTAGGAATTGCCTGCACTGACTCCTTTCCCACAATTGAATGGATGTCAGGCCAACTAAAACAAGGAGTGTTTGGATTTGTCTTAATAAAGGGTCATCCAGATGTGGATTTGGGAGCACTTTGCACTTATGCTGAGTCACCAGTTGAGTGCTGATCATGCCAGCTGAGAAATGATCTAACATTTTAAAAGTTCTGGAATGAAGCAATGCGAAAGCACTTCTATCATGTTGCAAGAAAACGGCATGACTATGAGTCATCACTCATGGACTTCAGCTCAAGGACACTGGTACTTTTTGCATGGATCCAGGCCTTTGATGAATAACAATCACAATGCACTGAAGAATTTGGGGAGAATAGAAGAGAAAGAACTAGAGAAAATCACAAAACATAAAGACCTATAAATAGAAGTTGAACAGCTGTAGCAAAAGAAAGGTATCCCAAAACATTTGGAGAACCATCTTAACACCATTAGTACTGACAGAATCACCACCAGTCAATTACTAAAAACAGCTTTACTTGGAATTGCTTACATATTGTGGCAATACCTTTAACACAGTCAGACAACATCTGCCTATCTCAGGTCCTTGGGAAGGAGTCAATAGGTGAATAAATGAGCCAAAACCACTCTAAACATCTAGCTGACAGGGCAACAAATCTTAATAAGACACTAGCTTGAGATGGTTATAGGGCTTGTACGCTCTGAGGAAGATGAGAGCTATGCCAGCAGTTCAAACATACTGGACAAGTCCTATTAGAGGACCCAGATGAAGAGTGTCTCTCCCATAGACACCCTTATGTCCCTGTAGGCCATAGGCAAGTATTCGGAACTGGAAGGAGCAACTGAAAGCTGTTTTTCCAGTTGCAAAAGCATACTCCCTTATGGCCTACAGGAAGCACCCATGGACTTCATGCAGCTGATTAATGCAGTCCTGCATGAAAATTTACTACCTGAATGACATTCTAATTTACACCAAAACTATGGCAGAGCACATGCAGCTGGTCAGAACAGTACTGAAAAAAAGTCCATGCCACCCAGTTATATGCCAAACTTTTCAAATGTGAGTTCCACGGCATAAGATCCATTATCTGGGGTATTGCTTCTCACACGAGGATGTAGAGATGGTCCTGAGAAGGGATGAGCTATACTAGAGTGGGCTATATCTGGCACACAAAAGCAGCTCCAAAGATTCCTTGGATTTGCCCATTTCTATCGGCAATTTATCCCATCATTCGCCCAAATAGCACTGCCCATCACCAATCTTCTAAAGTCTAAAGGGGATAGGAAACCCAACCCAAACCAATAATGGATAATGGAAGTGGCATTCCAGAAGCTCATGTTTGCTGCTGAACCCATACTAAAACAGCCAGACCCAAACACCCCATTTGTTACTCAAGCTGATGCCACTGATGTGGCGATCGGAGCTGTTTTACTCCAAAAGAATGACCAAGGGGTCTTGCAACCTTGTGCTTATACCTCCAAAACCTGTGGAGATGGTCAATATGGGGAAAAGTGGCATATGCGGTGCATTGGACACTCTTCACTTGGCGTCATTTCTTAGAAGGGGGGAAAACCCCTTTCAAAATATGGACAAGCCATAAGAACCTGGAAGCTTTAAAAGCAAAAATTGTCTCTGAAACACTTTCCCTGATTCAACTTCACACTATGGTATCTCCCAGGGGGCAAAGTGAAGCAAAGCAGGCGGACCTGACACTGGGAGGCTTAGGACCTGCTCTCAATCACTCTGAACCACTCTTTTCTCCTACCCATTAATGGGATTTAGAGGCTTCTAGGTGAATGGCCAATCTCAAGTGTTGCAACCATGATCAGTACTTGATCTTCAAGTCTTTTCCTTCATACTACAGAAGGACATAATCTGGGTGTTGAATTCCTCTGTTAGTTGCCCTTTTTCACATTTCTCCCTTGAGCAGCAGTATCAGCAGCTCCCTGTTACTGATCAGCCCGAAGGACTACTAAAGTCCAGAGGGGGAAATCATCCATCTCCTGGCTTCAGGTCAGTTGCTGGCAGCATGCTGAAGAGGAGGGAGGGTGGGGGAAATGGTGACCTCAAGCAGATTCATCTGCTTCTTGAAATTGTTAACCGAACATTGCCTCCATTCTCCAATAGCCAGCAAGAGCAGAAATCACTGGGTCATAGTTCTCCTAAATATTCAGATTCAGTTAATGAAACTAGATCAGCCTGACAACTGCCAGCTGGAGACCAGCAGGATCCCCTCCAGAAAATGACAGCAAGTTTCCTCTTGGAATTTGTGAGTATCCTGCATGTTGGGGGTTAATCCTTAAGCTGCTGCTCAGTCCTCACTTGGAAAGCTAACCCTAACCCTCATCCTTAATGGAAATAGGCAAAAACTGTTTCTTAGGCAACAGGGCTGAAATATTTTTTTTAAGTTCTAAAAAACAAGATGCCATTCAGAAACAGCTTGGGCAGATGCCTCCCTGACTCACTGGGGTATACGGGGTGGGGGGAGGGAAGAGTAGCAAGATTTTATTATTACAACCAAGCTCAATCAATGTAATTCTAGTCTTTCTATGGAACTGATTTCTTGGTCAGGTCTGTGTAGTGGGACTGACTATCAGAGTTGGAAAGGATCAAAAAATCATTTAGTGCCACCCCTGCTCCGTGCAGAATCTATTAAAGCATCTCTGACTATGGCTGTCCAATTTCTGTCTGAGGATTTCCAGCAGAGGAGAACTCCTCACTTCAAGTGGCTGCCTTTTGCGCTGGCTGATGGTTTGTTCAGTCGGGAAATTCCTACCACCTTGAACTTGCTTCTTTGTAACTTAACTCATTGATTCTAGTCCTGTTTCTGGGGCAAAAGGGAATAAATCTACTCCCTCTTCTATTTGATGAACTTTCAACCATTTGAAGATAGCTGTCCTATCATTGTACAGTTGTTTTTTCTATAGGTTAAACAGCAAAGGGCCATGAACCATTCCACTTAAGACTTGGTTTCCAGATCCGTCACCATTGCGATATCGTTCCTTTGAATTCACTGTCATGGGACCAGTTAGGATCTGATTAAAAGTGGAATTCTAGCTTGATATGATCTCTACTCTGTGTCTTCCTGATGTTCCCCAGTCTGCTCTTTTTAGCAATTTTTTTGCTTTTTGTTTTTACCTTCAACTTGGAGTATACTAGAACTCCCAGATGCTTTTCCCATATGCTACTCTCATATCATATATGTCTTCCTTTCCCACCCACCCCCAGGTATAGGACTGTCTTTCTCACCTTATTGTAAATCATTTGCTCCTTTTCATCAAGAGTCTTGATTCATCCATCTCAGTGGGCTGAAGACAAGGTTGAAAAGAAATCTCTTGGATATAAGCCCCCTCTGCTGTTTCTTGGCTTTCAAAGTGCTTACTTACACCTTGTGTTTTATTTTGTCATTGAAGTGAAATCTCTTTTGTGTAAGCAACTATCATCTCAGTGTTTTCCAGGATTTTATCCAATATAAGTGAAATTTAAACAAGTTTCTTCCATTTCTATCATCTTTAAAGTCATTGTCCTTTTGGGGGAGACTATATTCAGAAGAAATCAGTCAATATCCGCCCCACCCAGCTATACAGCTTCTTTATCTTTTTCCTTTATAAGCCAAAGTCAGACTCCAAAAGAAAAAAAAAATAACAATTGCGATGAGTAGTTTCACCAAAAGATTGAAATTTCTTGGGGCTCCCAAATATCCAAAAATAAAATCAATCAATAAAAAAATAAATAAAAAATAAATTTAATTTATTTTTATAAGCTTCTCTTCCCCCACCAAAAACACCGCTTTAACAAAGTAGGGAAATAATTAAAAAAAAGCTTTTCACAGAAAAAAAGGAAGGTAGAGGTAAAAGAAAATCTCAACAAATCTTTCATGGTGGGTCTATTTGCTTAGATGATCTTATGGCTTACGGTTGTTGCAGCTAAATGATCAGCCATTTTACTGACTGATCTTTACTCTGTCAGCCCAAAGGAGATACTCGGACTACAGAAGACACTGCCGCCCTCTCTGCAGTCATCCAAGAAGCCTCTTCAATGGTAGTTGCTCCTCCAAAGCGACTTTTCAACCCACTCAGGGGTCTACTGGCGGAGGAAACTTGGCCGGCGAAGAGACGGCTCTCTTCTCTCAACCGCACTGCCATGACCCGGAACTGGAAGCCACCTTAAATAATCTTTATTCGAGTAGCATAACATCAGCACATACATAGGCCAAGCCAAAATCTGAATTCTCCTCCCCTGAGCACAATTCAAAGCACAATTCCCTCCTCTAGTTAACAGTCATAAATCACATTCTCCAATTAGTTTGAAATGTTGGCTTTCCCCCCAGTTCTTCAACCTGCCATTTCTTATCATCTCTTATTATAAAAAAATGTCATTCTCACTCTCATACAGTATTGTTATGTCTAACTAAATTCCTTCTCTCCCCCTAATATCTTCTAATTCTAACTCTAAGAGTAAAACATAAAGTAAAGGAAAATGGCTGCATCTCCATCTGTTGTCAAAGCCAGAACATCGATGTTAGCAGCATTGACATCTGACCCCCCTTACCAAAAGGACAGATCCTGTAACATAAACAAAAGCATATGTTAGGGACTGTCTCTCGGTTTGTTAGGGTGTTTCCTATAGAACTTTTTAATGAGTCTGTCGGCTTTCACATCGCTAGACTTCAGCCAAGTGGCTTCAGACAGTGAGTATCCCTTCCATTGTACTAGGTACTGCAATTTTCCTTTAAAAACTCTAGAATCAAGAATAGGCTTTACTTCATAGTGAGTCTGACCCACTACCACAAGGGGTCTGGGTGCCTTCTTAGGGGGAGGTCTTAAAGTGGAGCCCCGAAAAGATTTCAACAAGGTGCACTCTCCCTAAAAGCCTAGGGAGTTTTAATTCTACTGTGACCGGGTTAATGATCTTTACGATGGGGAAAGGCCCCAAGAATTTTGGTCCTAATTTCTTGCTGGGTAATTTGAGGCATAAATATTTAGTTGACAGATAGACCTTTCCTCTAATTTGGAATGTTCTTTGAGGAGCCCTCTTATCTGCCTCCTTTGTTAGAGAATTTTAATTTCTCTGTTCGTGAAAAAATAAATCAGAAGCTCTTACAGTTGACTACATTTAGCTGATTCAAATAAATTTCTTTATATTCATATCAAAATATTTACAAAACCATACATTCTTCTTTACAGCAGCATAGCTCAATAAAGACTTCTCACAGAGAGATACAGAGACATACCTGAGACTGAAAATTCAGCTTCTAACTCAATACACTTTTGCACAGACTCAGTAGCACTTTACTCACATTGGCTGACTGAGTTACCACATGACTCTTCCTGCTCATGAATATTCCAACACTCCTCCCTTCATGACAGGAAGAGACATCAGACCTATTGACTTAATACATTCTCCATAGTGAACACCACCCAATGGTTTAGTCATCATGTCTGCCAAATTATTCTCAGAAGAACAATGATGTAAACTAATCAATTTTCCTTTTACAGCTTCCCTGACATTACAATACTTAATGTCTACATGTTTACTTCTGTTCTTCACCCTGTCACCAGTTGCCATTTTTATATTGTCTTCAAATACCTTTACAGATTCTTTTATATTAATATTTAAATCTTGCAACAACTATACATACCATGTTACTTCAGAACACAATTCAGATAAAGCAATAAACTCTGCTTCTGCTGTTGAAATAGCAACAGTTGTTTGTTTTCTGGACTTCCATCCAATCAGAGTCCCTCCAAACAATATTATAATCCCAGAATTTGATTTCCTTGTGTTTATGTCATTTGCATAGTCACTATCGACATAACACTTTAAATTCAATTCCTCAATAATCTGTATTTGAAGACCCAAATTTATGGTTCCCTTTAAATATCTGAGTACCCTTTTTACACCCATCCAATGTAACTTTGTAGGTGCAGCAGTAAAACGACTCAAAATGCTTACTGTGCAAGCTATGTGTAAGGACCCACCCCACTTTGCATCTTAAGAAGACAGAACTCTTGGAATAATTCTTCCAAGAGGCATCCTTTATTAAGAGAAAATGATTGCAGGCGTTCTAGACAGGACTTGGGGTCCAAGCTCTCCCATTCAAGGTTTTAAGGGGTTCCCCAGTAGCCCCACCCAATCACCCCCTTCTTCCAGTGACAGTCTCAGGCATTACACTCCCACCCCCTTTTCCTTACTGCCGGCTGGATGGAGACATCAGAGAGAACTACATGAAGGTAATAGCCCCATTGTTATGTTTAGTCCTTTTGGTGATATACACATCCAGTTCCTTTGAAGTATACCAAAGGAAGTGAGGGCCATAAAGCCCCTTTGTTCACCCCCTTCCCTTCATCGTATGACAGAATCCATAGAAGGCAGAAATGGTGTTTTCTATAGTTGATAACTAGAGATGAAATATAATTGGATTCTGACATCCTGCCCCCTTAAAAAAAAGACAGATCCACCTGAAAGAAAACAAAACAGGTATAAAAGTTAGTCAGGCTTGTTAGGATACTCTGTGTGAAACTTCTTTAATAGCTTCGGGGCTCTGACATGACGTTCATGGACCCACTCATTTTGTGAGGCAGGGAGGTGTTTCCAGGCAATTGAGTCGCTCCATGATATCTCCTAGAGTCAAGGATTTCCTTTATTTTGAAATGTTGTTCACCCTCCACCATGACTGGAGATGGTGGGGGGGATTTTTGGCCGTAAAGATGACTGATGGTCTCTTTTCAGCAAGCTGCAATGAAAAATTGGGTGTATTTGCCTGAGATTTTTGGGTAATTCTAATTCTACTGTTACTGGGTTTATGATTCTTTTAATTGGAAAAGGCCCTATATATTTTGGTCCAAGTTTTTTACAGGGCTGTAGGGACTTTAGGTATCTTGTAGTTAAGTACACCATTTCTCCTATAATGAATGGTGTAGGCTCAACCCTTTTTTATCGGCTTGTGCTTTGTATGCCTGCCTAGCTTCATCTAGTGCTTTTCTAACTATTGGCCAGGTGTCTTGTAATTGTTCCATCCATTCTTTCTTTAGTTCATTTGGGGTTAATTCTGGCATGGGTTGAAACTTTGACCGTTGGCTATTTGAAAAGGAGTATAACCTGTGCTACAGTGGACTGCATTATTGTAGGCAACTTCTGCAAAAGGGAGTAAGTCCGCCCACCTGGTCTGTTGGAAATTAAGAAAACATCTTAGATATTGCTCAAGTACTGAGTTCATTTTTTCAGCCCCCCCCATTCCCTTCTGGGTGGTGGCTAGATGTCAGTCCC